TTGGAACTTTTATTGGTGATAAATATACGACGAATTTTGCATTGATGCTCATGTATAAGCTTAGTTTTTTAAAACAGTGTTTTTCTCATTATCGCCCGATTAATTATTTCCCCCCTATTTGATTAAAGAATTAACAGGGTTGCCACCCCACAGGGGAAACCTGGAAAATACAGGGAATTTAAGAATCACCTAAAATAACAGGGAAAATGCTGGGAATTTTGATTTTTTCTGTACAAATTTGGAAAATGCAGGGAATTTTGTTTCTTATTTTTGTCTTTTAAAAAATGTTGACCACTCAAAGTGTAATCTGTGGGATATTTAACCATGATATTTCAGCCATACTAAACTATTTAATTTACTGTAGCATTCAGTTGTTTTTCCAGCAATTAAAATTAATAAATATAGTTAGCCCAATATAGCTAACACAAGAGCACAGTAGTTGTTGTTTCCTCTTAATATTATGTGTATAATATGTACAGGGAAAACACAGGGAATTTTTATTCCAGATTTGAGTGGCAACCTTGATTAACAACTTGCTATTTTTAATGTAGTTTTTGTTACGTGTAGAATTTGTTTTATAAATGGATTAAAATGATACTTGTTTACGTTTAACGCATTTTCGTTAAAATATTTCGCCCACCTTTTGATAAATATTTATATTTTTTCGCGGGCAATGAAAAATGTATCAATAATATTCACTTTCATTTAAATTTGTTAGTATATCGGGTATAACGATGACAGAACCATTGTAAATAAATGTTTTAATAGAGGAATCTTACACAACAAACCAAAATTCAAAATCAATTTTAGATAAATTAGCTGAATTAATTTCTTTTAAAAAATCAGTTTCAACCACAAAAATATTTTAACTTAACAGTATTAGAAAAAAAAAAGTTCTTATAAAAAGTTCAAGGGTTATTCTGGAAACTTATGGTAGGGCATTACTTTATCGAATATTTACTGAATATTGATCAAATTTCCAGATGTTGTCTACCGAGTCATTCGGCTGTATATCAAAAGAGATATAAGATTAAAATCAATTTTGAAAAAAATGTTCTATGTTATCTATTTTTTTCTCAATTTAGTCCTTTGACACATTTTATTTTAGAAAATCACAACAGTATCTCTTTACAATTCCACGAAACTAAAATAAACGTTCTTTTTTTTCAAAAGGAAATAGCTTTCGAAAAGAATTAACTCTTAGCCCAGTTTCGAAAGCACCTTTCTAAAATACCCGCTTCCTTCCATTCAAAAAATTTCATTCTTACTTAGCATCACTTGCTCAATAAGCCATTCAGGAAAAGAAGCAATTCACGTTTTGCGTGCCGCAATTTTGGTTTTTGTTTCGTTCTGAAATTTGTTCACCTCTTTTTTCTGGAGCGAACACAGTCTGTTGATACGACAATTCGAAGTTATTTTTTCAATTATGTCTTTCGCTTCTTGTCTTTTCTATGAAAGAAAAAAAAACTAATTTAAGAATTTCCCTTTCGTTATTAATTTTTACGGTTCCTTCTTCCGATTTCGGTTAATTATAAAATCTCTTGCTCTAATAAGTAGATTGATAATAAAGGATTGTGAGTTCTTTATGGGGCATAAATCTGTTCAGTGTTTAACATAGTATTATTATTTAATCACTTTTTAAATCAAAAATTGTCATAAAAACTACCATTGTTATTTTGATATGGAGAATATCCTGGTTGCCGAAACCCTTCCAGCACGGCAGCGGGCACTGCAGATTATTGCAGCACCAGCCCTAGCAGCAAAGTAACTTGGGCCCTTATTGGATTCAATGTTCATTAATCTTGACTCAATGAGGGTAAAAAGGGCCGATATTTCCGATAATATCCCTACATAGAATTGTTAGATTAACCTAATATTTTATATCCATTATCCAACCAACATATTCAACCATTATTCAACCAATACCCTGTATAGAATTGTCCATTTCATCCGATATTTTACAGCCATTTCTCAACTACTATCGGCCCCTATATAGAATTGTTATTGCAGAACATTAAAAGCCATTGTTGAAAAATCTAGACACCCCAATATTTTGGTCCCTCGGTGCATGTTCCAATATGACTCATATTGAGTCAAACTGGAGCCAACGTAAAATTGTTGCTAAGGTACAGATTCTTTTTCATTTAAGTTTTCTTTTTAAAAAGTAAACAAATGGGGGAGGAGATTACTGAAGCCCCTCTTTTAAGCACTTTTGAAATTCTTTCAAATAAAAAAAAAAGTTAAATTGAGAGAACCTTAAAAAATTTGTCATTTGATAGGTATCAATTCCGTTTGTTTAGCATCATTGTATAAAATTCAGTTTAAATTCAAACAATATAAATTTTCAAGCATTATTTGTAATAGTCTTATACATATATAGTTATATAACTATATATGGTTATATTATACTTATAGTTACATAGTCTTGTAATCCCCGTGGCAGAATCGCAGCGACACGGCGACATTGTCGCAGAACGTTGGAGTTCTTGCAGAAGGATTTTACCTTTATTTATTTTTTGACAGAAATTTACCTGTTATATTTGAATCATGCATTTAAATAATCACTTTTTGACACGCTCAATATACGTCGATAGTATCGTAAATTGATGTATTGTTTCGATTGTTATTTCGTCAGATATTGATGTTCATTTTCACGTGGATTTTAAATATCCCGATAAACAACATGGAAAATTCGAATCGTGTATTTGAGTATTTACTTTTTAACGCAATAACTGACAAAATTCTGTCGAATTTTATCAGTTATTGCTATTGATTTTTAAATCCGATATTTTTAATACGATATTATTTTTATACAACAGACTAACCAAGAAACGAAACACGCATTTGAGATGTCCGATTCGCTAGATTTTATCGTTGATCTTTTTTTTTTCCGCCAAGTACTACTACGAATTTAATGATTTAAAATTTTTTTTTTACAAAAAGCGAAGGGAATAATTCTTCCAAACAAAATGCGAAATTGTTACCTATAATATAAGAATTAAAATTACATATTCAATTAAAAAAAATTATAAGTAGTTTTTTTGTAAACACAGCGCTTTTGTTACTTTAAATTAGTAACATACATGTTTATTATTATTAAAAGTATCTTGCAGAAAGATATTAGTGTTAGAGAGTTTTGTCTCAGATAGCTCGAAAAAATTCTGCCACGGGGTTTGTAATAGTCTATTTGTAATAGTACTATCTATAAATTTTGTTTACACGCATGTTAGATTAGGTTGAATTTTTACTATAATGAATTTTTAATGAATGATGAATTTTTACTATTCTGACTGCGTTGAGGAGGAAATTTTCCTCCAATTGTGACATCCTTTATGGATAAATTTGCAAAAATTATTTTAGTCACCATTTTAAAAGTTCTATCTAATCTATAACTACATAATTTTTGAGGCTTTACTTTCTCATAAAAGCGTGAAAGGCGATTTCGACACAAACCAAATTTCGTATCTTTCTCGACAGTAATCACGTGGGGGTTGATATCAAAATGATGATTGCTCAACCATTGAGAAAGAAAAGCTTTTGTATGGAAAGTAGCGGTGGTGATTTTTGAGAGCTGGACTAGAAAAGGTGCGGTTGGGCTTGTATGTATTAGAATTCGGTCTTAAAATCAAAATCATATACGCCCTCGCATATTAGAAAGTATGTATAAAGAACAGGTAGACACCATTGTTGTGGACTTCCATAAAGGAAAGCAAGTGTCGCAAGCAAAGACGATTGCCTTGACCTTGATAATTTCTGTTTGATGTCTTGTTTATTGTCGAACAAGTGTTTCTGGTCTTTATTAGGTGGGCATTATGCAAATGACTTTTATCTTCTTAACTCGGTATCGACCTAGATACACTGAAATTGGTCCTACTTGTTGGTCGTAGTTGAAAAAGAAATTTGATAAATCCCATTATAAATGACCGCAAGGAAATATGCATAAGCTCAGCTGACGAAAACAAACAAATCTGTTAAGTCTGTTATAAATTGCAGCAGTGGATAATATTTTATTTAATTTTGTTGTTGTTGTAATAATAGCTTACCGCGTCTGGTTTTTTGTTGTTTCTTAAATTCATAATAACGTCGCAAAAATTTGATAGTGGTTTGGAATTTCCTTTTGATAAAATCTATAGTTGAAAATTAAAAAGTAAAAAGTTTAGTGGATGTAGGTTATAAGTCATGTTTCAGTGACTTAAGGGATACCTTGTAAAGGAGACAGCTTTCTACTAGAAATGGTCTTACGTTTAGAAATAGCGCTAATAACTTGTTGTATTTAAAAAGAAACTTGAAATATCCGCTAGAAATGACCACCGCATATGCTTAAGTTTTTGTTGACAGCTGAAAACAAATATGATTAGTTTGTTATAAATTGCTGCAGTATATAATGTATATTTAATTTTTCCTGCTAAAATATTTATTCTAGAAATATTAATGTACGTACTGTGTGTTATTCGTAAATAAAGGTTTAAAGTTGATAATGAGAAAGTGATTATGAAATAGTTTGCTGTATTTACCCTATTTAGTTTTTCACTTTTAAATGTATACTTTTAGTTAAATAACGCAACTAGTGTTGTCGAGACGCGTATTATTTTTATATCATCAGCTTCTAAGTGATGATATGAAAATAAGTTCTAAGATAATGTGAATGAAAATAAGTTCTGATATAAATGATCTGAATCTAAGTTCTATGAGTGTAAAATATTTCCGAAGAAAGTAATTAAGAGGTAATTTATGTATATATATATATATATATATATAATATAGTATTTATTATTAACATAAATTCCATATGACTAAATTGAACTGCTGTTAAGATTAATATTTTTATTTAATTTTTCCCAAAAAGTTTTTATGTGTTCAAAAAGTACTAAATGTTCACACAGTTTTTTTTTAATAAAGTGCCCTATGTTAACAAATTTGTTTTCTAATTATAATGCAAGTTACTTAATAATTATTGGTTGTTTATGTGAATGATGTTTTACCTTTTGTTTTATTTGTAGCCTCAAAATCTCTTGCTTACAAAACCTTTTCCGAACGGGGAAGTGAAATTATGCGACTTTGGAATTTCCAGACTCATTACAAAAGGTATTGAAATCAGAGAAATTGTTGGAACTCCGGATTATGTGGGTAAGTGTTCGCAAAGTTAGAATTATTACATTTATTAGAAGCTGATGTCAAGTTCTTTTTTATAAATTTTTCTTATCGCTGAGATCATAAACTTTATTTCTTACACTACTATTTTACATACCAGAAGCTTGCAAATTTTAAACTCTTCGTGTCTGTGAAATCTGAAATTGATTATCGAATTATTTATATTAAAATTAAATGTCGAAAATTTTTTACTTCGAACTTTGCTACAATTTGAGTAAAAAGATCTTAAATGTCCATTTTTTCTCTTTTTAAAAGATGCACTGCAATTATTAGTCGATCGAATACGACTAACTATTCCGCAAAATATAATCGACAAATAATTGTGTCCTGATGGTTAGAAACGCATTTGTAAAACAGTATTGAGAAAATTTATTTTTAACTGGGTGCGTAGCGTTTTTAAAAAGTGCTTAAAGGAGCTTATTTTCGATTATCGTTTTTTAAAAGCCCTTAAAAGGTGCCGTTTTCATTGGGTGTTTGTAAAAAGTGCTTAATTTTATTCTTTTTCAAAATGAGATTTTTCCTTTACTATGTTGATTTTCGCTTCGAATTATGCAAAAAAACGCAGTTTACATTGTTCTATTCAACGTTTTCACAATTAATTCAACCCATATCTATTTCGGCACATTCTCAGTCCGTAGCATTTGATTCACGTGACTCAAATTTCATGATTTTTGACAATTGTCAAAAACAATGTCAAAATGTTTATTTATTTATTTTTTTTACATGGCGGTTAAAACAAGATAAAACCGTCAATTGCGATTAACTTTCCAACCCTGCCTAATTATAATATTTTTTTAAAGTACCTAAAAATATTTTTTGAGTGCTTGAAAAGTGCTTAAAAGGTGCTTACCTTTTGTTGAATAATTTGGCTACTCACCCTGCTTAAGTTCAAGCTACCCTTTTGTTTTTTAATCAACTATAATCTTAATCAAATGGACGAGTCTTTTTACTTAGAATCTTATCTTTATTCTAGCACTTTACAGACTTCAAGCTATATGTATTTAAATTTTAGTGGCAAGATCAACTTTTAATAATAATTCCTATAAATGTAATTTAGTAAATGAGCTTTTGTTAACTATTACGAAATCTTAGTTTTTCTTGGTCAGAAAATTTGCTGATCCGGAAAATTCATGTGCTCATCGGTTCTTATCAAATCCAAGGTTGTGTTGTTGAGCGTTAACAAGAATAATTATAATCGTCCATGCTTATAATTATTCTTTGTTCATTTTCAACCATGCCTCTTTTACTTCCTCGGAGTGAGGAAGAACTGTTGAATAAACAAATGATAGAAGATAAAAAAAAAATTCCACTTTTCCTTTCCGTTCGGCGTCACACTTGGAAGAACTTATGGTTGTTAACTAGTCTGTCATCACTCAAGCAGAACTGGATTCACTTAAACCATNAATGCCAGGACATTGAAGTGTTACCAGAAATTCTTTTTAACTGCTAATACTGTGAAGAGGGAGAGCAAATATTAACCTAATACCAAGTTTGTGTATGATTGTAATATGCTTGGATGTAATCAAAGTTATTTATTTATTTAATGATTGATTATTATACACAATTTTATTCTGTACTGATTATTATACACAATTTTATTCTGTACATATCAGCAACAAATTTTTTTTTGTTTCTTTCTACAGTGGATGAAAAGAATTAATTTAAGCAATTTATGGTCCATCTAAACATAAAGGCTTAAGTTGAGTTACTTACTATTAATTTAAAATGACTGTTTTTTAAACTTCTAAGGTAATATGTCATTTTCCTGGCATTCAAGATTTGGTGAATTTCTATTTTTTTTTTTTTTTCTCGAGCAAATGTCAATAAACTACACTGCTGTCTATCTATAAGATATTAGAAAGTGTAGCTAAAGAAGTATACAAAAAATTTTTTAGATTATTTTGAAGACTATAAATTTGAAGAAATTTTTTGGTCCGAATTGTCATGTTTCGTGAGAATCACCCATATATTTAAAGTTTAGTAGCAAGATCAACTTTTAATAATAATTCCTAGAAATGTAATTTAGTAAATGAACGTTTGTTAACTATTACAAAATCTTAGTTTTTCTTGGTCAGAAAATTTGCTGATCCGGAAAATTCATGTGCTCATCGGTTCTTATCAAATCCAAGGTTGTGTTGTTGAGCGTTAACAAGAATAATTATAATCGTCCATGCTTATAATTATTCTTTGTTCATTTTCAACCATGCCTCTTTTACTTCCTCGGAGTGAGGAAGAACTGTTGAATAAACAAATGATAGAAGATAAAAAAAAAATTCCACTTTTCCTTTCCGTTCGGCGTCACACTTGGAAGAACTTATGGTTGTTAACTAGTCTGTCATCACTCAAGCAGAACTGGATTCACTTAAACCATTATTTTAAAAATGAAGCTGTGGTGGTGTAACTCTAAGCATCCTTTAACAAATCTTTTTTTTATTTTTTATATGGTTTAAAAAAAATTTGTTATTATATAAGTAGTTCCAGCTCATAAGTTTAACATGTGATAACCATTCTAATTAATTATTAGACTAATAACATTTTTATTTCCTCGTACGGTACGGTTTTCTTCTATACATCTTTAAATTATCAAAAAAGAAAGGAATTAATTTAACGACCTCCCCCCTTCCCCCCGAGATAAAAAGTAACACTATGTTGAATTACTTTTATTTGAGACATCATATTTCGAATATAAATGCAATGTTTTAAATAAACAGAATTAACATTAATAAACTTTTTAGACTTAAGTTCCTAGTGTAATGATCTCAGAAGAATATTTCTCTTTCAAAACCTTCTACGATGGTGGATCAAATATGAATAAGACTTCTTTAATAACAACTAAATATCACTTACAATAATATTTTCTTTTTCTACATAATTTCCGTTGACATCTACACACTTTTTGTAAGTTTTTTAATTTTGGTGGAATAGGAAGAAGTAAGCCTTGTACTGAACCACAAAATCTTTTACCTCTTCATTGGATGGAAATTCTCTCGCCTCCAAAGGTGTTCCAAACAAATGGTATTCTAAAGGTGCCAAGTCGGGGCTATATGGAGGATGTTTAACTGTTTCCCAGTGTAATTTTTCTTGTGTTATACTGCGGCTTTTTGACGTGTCGCATTGTCCTGTTTGCAAGAGAATTTGACGGATCAGTATACTGCGTCTCTTGGACCGACAAGCTGCTTTTACTTTTTCTAAAATTTTACAATAATAATTTGCATTAATTTTTCGCTGTTCATGAAAGATATCAGCATACACTTGTGAGTACTTAATCAGCAAATAACCGATATTTTGGCTTTGAATGGAGCACATTCATTTTCCCAACGCCATTCCATATTGGAACGCTTTGTTTCAAGTGGGTAATGATGAACCCGAAATTTACCACAAGTTTGCATGCATCATTTGCATACTTGAGCGCTCAACAGGGTATCACTGCAAACTGTGCCTGTAATCAGAGTAAAATTTCAATAGGTCTTGCATTTTTTTCTTGTTAATTTAACTATTATGCGTTGTGCAACTGTATTAGGAACGTTATTCTCACTCATGATTCGAACTAATAAAAAAAGTTTACGAAGAACTAAGCACTGCCAAATAATTATAACTCTAGATAAAATTCTATTGTTGCCATGACAACAGCCATAAAAATCTTCTGCTATTTAAGAAGTCTCATTTACATTTGATCCATTTATGTAAATGCTTTAATTTTTTATGCCATAAGACGAGGATTATTACGCGAAATTAATACACAGTGTTTTGATTTATATTTGATTCAGAAGAGCCGCGAGCCAGGGATCAAAATATTTTAACATTTTTAAAAGAAATTTTTTTTCTTCGTTAAATTGTATTGGGGAAAGGGTAAATAATGCTGAATTTATATATATAAAAATGCTTTTCTCAATGTAACAAAAGATATATATATTTTTTACTCATCTCTAGTGGAAACCTTTTCTTCTTCATTTTAACGTAAAAAGTGTTTATTCTTTTATACATATTATAAAATATTTCTGTGTATACATCGTCTGGTATAATCGTACAAAGAAAAAGTAATTTTTTAATATCGTAAAAAAAGGATTTTTTTTTTTTTCGAATTTAAAANCATCCCTGATATATATATATATATATTTTACTTATCTCTAGTGGGAACTTTTCCTTCTTCATTTTAACTTAAAAAGTGTTTATTATTTTATACATATTATAAAATATTTCTGTGTATACATCGTCTGGTATAATCGTACAAAGAAAAAGTAATTTTTTAATATTGTAAAAAAAGTATTTTTTTCTTCGAATTTTGAAAAAAAAAAAATGTTTATTTTCTTTTTTTACATAATAGTGATATGTGAATTTTCTAATGAAGATGACGTGCAAAGTTTTTTGTTTGAAAACATGTATACGGAAATCGATACAAAGAAATTGTAACAATTTACTCGAATTATATAAACTACGAATAAAAATAGGAAGTATTGATTTATATTAACCAGGATATATTTATTTCGTCCGTACATGATTCACAATCATCAGCCATGTATCGTTTATTAAGAATCTGACAACTCGAATTGGCCGTCGAAACCAGCAAGTAATAATGGTTTTGACAATGAATTCTGGAGCTATCCTCAGATTTAGGGTTGGTGATTACGAGGTTTAGTGAAAGAGTATGTTAAGTAAGAATTTTTTTTTTTTATCAAATAGAGATAAACAACTTTACAATAAAAACACACCAAGCAGGTGTTTACAAAACAGCTTTTTTTTTTCCCCAATAGAAGACTGCCTTAGGAGGGAGGGCAGCATGTTCTTGCTTTGTATCCATAAACATATTTTTAAATCTGGAAAAATCATAATGCTGTTTTACCATCTTCAACCACTAAAAGGTTCAGTTATAAGTTAAATTTAACTTCGTATGTGAAGAATACGATTCCTTGTGAAGGAGAAATAAATTGTATCTCTTTTGTTGGAGGTTAACGTTCGTCTAATGTATTTTCTTTTCTTTTTTTAATAGCGCCGGAAGTTCTACATTACGAACCTATCAGTCTGGCCACGGACATGTGGTAAGTGCTCTTTTCTACCTCTTTTTTCTCCCTTTGATAACAGTAAGAGCTCTCCAAACTAAAAAATTTCCTCATCTTTGTTATAAGTGCTCTCTCATTTTATCTACTAAGATATTGCTCTCTCCAGACAACGGGGAGCAGCGCCGGCATTCGTTTCTAACTTTAGACCTTTTACTTTTTATATCAGAAAACATTAAGCGCTTTTGAGGTGAAATCACAATTTTGGGTTTTTATAGTTTGCCCTTTCTTCGCTGCTGGGCAAAAAGTTTTTTTTATCTTGATGATTAAGTTATCTTAACCCTTATTTTTTTTATTGCTCTTGCTAGTAACTTTTTCCTTGCATATGAATGATTTTTGTTTTTAAGTGAAATGTCCATCATGCAGGGGTGACTGTGAGCCCAAGTCAAAATTCCGCAAAATTTCTGGAGTTAAAAAAAAAAAAAAGTTTAAATCAAAAAATTAGAAACAAATTTAAACAAGGTTTTTTTCTTTTTCTCATTATTTCTTAGTTTACTTAAAATATATTTAAAATTTTACACATACCTATGATGACCTGGAGATGTAATTGAAATTTACAAATATGTCTTTCTTGAGTTTATGATTATAATAACTATTTACTGATAAAAAATAAATATTAATCTTGAATATTAGCTTATCTGGCTATCCCTTACAAATAAAATAAACTGTGTTTTTAAGTTCCACCTTTGAAAGTTTGATTTCCGGAAACTGATTGACTGATTTTTGAAACGTCTGAACCTTCGATCTCCGGATCACGGTTAGCTAAAAATCCGGAATTTTTCAGGAGCACAATCAGCCCTGATCATGTAAATAAGATTTGATTATGTATTTTTAAACCCATTTTTGGCCAGTATGAACACTCTATTCCAGTGTTTCCCAAAGTGTGGTACGCTTACCCCCAGTGACAGTTTCGCAGGGGTGTACGCGTCCTTATGCGAAATATCTTGTAACGAACGAAAATTTCAAATTTTTTCTTATTTAAAAACTAAGTTAGCCATGAAAATTTACGATTACGTATTTTTATATTGGCTGCTTTTTGCAGAGTCAACAGTTAATAATTAGCGGTGTCAACAGCCAGTTGTGATTTTTAACTTTTGTGCAATTTTTTTATTGTAAAAAATACATTCATTTTTTTTTATTAGTGGTACACAGCGTTACGAAAAATTTAGAAAGGGTACACTAAAGTCATAAGTTTGGGAAACACTGCTCTATTCCAATAAAAAAAAATTTCGTTAACACTGTGACGTATATATTTCACTAATTTTATGCTTTTGCTATTTTCAAGGGTTTTGAAGAAATCTATAAAATAATAGTAATTCTAATGGAGTAAACACTTTATGATGAAAATTTTTAAACTACGCTTAACTTGAGAAGCTTCGACGTTTTGAAAATGTATGATTATTCTATTTGAGACTAATGGCCGGGATAGTCTGGTTGGCAGGGCGCTGGACTCACGTTCGTGAGAACGTGAGTCCGAATTCAGTCGGGCGAAGACTCCCCATCGTGTAGTAAATGGTGACTGGTGCTCGTTAAATGTTTCGGGTCACAAAGTCCTCCACGCTCCCATAACAAATTATACCTCAGGGGGTACTGAATTGGATCGTTTTCTGGTTCAGCTAAAAACTACAATCTGTGGATGAATGGGTTTATGAATAGGTCTGCCATATAAACGGTTGTGTCAGAAATCGAATTCTCGGTCATAGATGGCGCCACTGGAAAACAAGAACAATCGCACCCTTTGCCTTAATGGCTCACAACAAAATTTGAGATTAATTATTTGTTTTATTGATAAAAAGTTGCAAGTTCTGCAAATAAAATAAAACTAATGTTCAACAAAATGGTTTGACTATTGATTTGGACAATGGTTCATATATGCACCCTTTTATTTCTTAATAAAAATATTTGTCATGCACCAAACTTTTTTGTGTCTTAATGTAATTTAAGCATATTTCAATGAAAATAATACCACATTTCATAAAATTTCTATGCCTGGCCTAAAGTGGGTTAAAGGGGGAAAAAAATCAAGGTTGCTTTTAAACTGAGTTAAAAAGAAATCTAATTTGGAAAGTAAAAAAAAATTTAAGTTCAATGATTTTGTTATTCTTATATTGCTCAAATTCTGAACTATATTAGTATGTATTAAATAAATTGTGCTTATTTTTGAAAATTTAGGAGTATTGGTATCTTGACATACGTTCTCCTATCTGGTCACTCTCCATTTGGAGGCGATACAAAGCAAGAAACATTCTGCAACATAACCAGAGGCACACTTGAATTTCCTAATGATTTGTTTGGTTCTACTTCTAATGTTTGCAAAGATTTCATTCAGAGACTACTAGTTAGAGAGCCTAGGTATGCATTTTTAAATATATTAGTGTATGTATAGCTTAAAAAACTAAGTAATTTTATGAAAGGATTACGTTCAGAGACTATTAGTTAGGGATTTATTTTTTTTAACAAGCATTCTGAAATATATTTTAGATTGACCTTAGTGGGGGTGAATAAAAATAGTGGGAACATTTCTATACTAATCCATATTTTTTAAGAAATACTAGAAGAATAATTTTATAGCTTCAGAAATGTTTAGATCATGCGATTTCGCATACATACCAATTAAGTTTAAAGTTTTTAGAGATTTGAGGGACCGACAATAAATTACAAATGGAAAATGTTTTTGATGTTATGAAATAAAAACACCCTATATAAAAAAATGTAACTTGAGAGTTATTTTGGTTATTATATGTAATATAACGCAAAATTTCATAAGCCCAGCTTAAATATTTATTAAAATAAATTAATTTTTTTAGAGTAATTTAAAATTAATCACAAAATTTTTGCTTTAGAGTTTGAAAAAGACTCATTGTACTCTAAAACTGTACAATATTTAGGTAATTAAAGTAGTTCTTTTATACTGAGCAGGTATGGATACTTTTACACATGGATACTTCAAAAATATTTTTTTTCATTTGTAATTTATTGTCGGTCCCACAAATCTTCAAACTTCATTTGTATATGTATGAGAAATTGCATAACCTAAACATTTCTAGATTTATAGAATTATTCTCGCAAGTATTTTTTGAGAAAGATCAAAAAATTTGTTAGTATAGAAGTATTTCCTTTATTTTGTTCAACCCCTGTAATATGCAATTTTTTTTTAAAAGTCTGTTTGCCAACAATCATTATGTGCTGCACCAAGCAAATTATAAAATCTTCAATATTTCTAATTAACTTTATAGTTTTCAGGCCTACTGCAGTTCAATTTGCTTGCAGCAAACCTCTTAAAAATATATCTAACAAAAGGAAGAACTTGAAATTAAAATTAGGCCCAGCTCTTTATTCCAGGTGCCAGCAGAAGACAAAGCATATTACAATGAGTCAAATCAAAATAAATTCAGACTGATTGAGTTACGTTTTACTCATTTTATAATTAATCTAAAGACATATGTGCTTATTTTAATAAGCTAAAAAATAACATGCTGATAGAAAATATTGGAAACTTCTCCAAATAGCCCGGTACATCGTAAAATGAAAAATATTTTCAAAAGTAGTGGTCAAGATATCTAATTAGATACTAAAAAATAAAAAAAAACTTATAGAATATGGCATTTTAGGGCTAAAAAAAATTAAGACTCACATTTTAAAAAAACTTATTTTTCTCTTTTCAGCGAAAGAATGTCCGCCAAAGAAAGCCTTAACCATCCCTGGCTCAGTGGAACAGATTCGGAAAGTATCATCAATACTGGCATTCAACTTACTCTTACCTCTGACATAAGTGCTAAAGATTCCGACTTGGATATAACCCCTAACACAAACGGCAAACAATACTCACCAAGTACTCCAAGAAGCCTCAAAGCGGACATTTCTCCTATCACGGGCAGAAAATCAAATGGAACTACATTTTTTCGGAAAAGCCCTTCTCCTAAACCAATGGGCACTAAGGATCAGAAAGAACAAAAGAATGGCACCGCCAGAAGTGTGGATATGATGGTATCACAGTTTGAAGGCATCTCCATGTCTAAACGCATAGTCTTTTCAGAAGAAATCATTGTTGATGAAAGGATTGGTATGGTTTACTAAAGACTGATCTCAACCACTACAGTCCCTTGTAGATTCATAGTAGCCCCTGTAGTACCACAAATTTCAAGTGATGCTACATGAACTTATTGGCTGCAATGTGTTACCGAGACACTTGTAAAAAAAGAAAAAATATTCAGTTGTTGGGAGTTTTGCATTTGTACTGAACAGTTGGATGCAGTGTTATGACTTATCAAAATGAACAGCTATGCATTTTTACATGAGATTATTCTCTGTTATTGGCAGTTTTGCATTTTTCAGTTATTAATATACCCTATTTCTGTTTGTTTTTAACTTTGGTGATTTCTAATTAGTTTAATTGCATTACCTTTACAAAATTTGCGACTGTACAATCATTTTCCATTTCTGTAGGGTTTAATAGTGCGACATTATTTACGTAGTGTGTAAATTTGGACATTTTACTGAAATTGTGAAGGCTTATCTATTAAAGTGATAGTGAGAATGTGATATAACAAGATTTTAGAAAAGAGCCAATCATTTATTAACACCTGATACAATAAATGTTTTTTTTTCTGATATCATTCTAGCGAGTCAGAGATAAACATAAGTTTTTAAAAAATAATTTCTTTATAAAAAAATAAAATTTTTCACTACAACTTCCCGGTGATAACTTCTTCAACTATGGCATATTGTTTTTCAAATTGTGATACAATTATCCAAGTTATCTCCATACTAAAAAGAGTATGGAGAGCTACTGGCTACATTTCTTTTGCATATTAAAAAAAAATTAGACAATGCTTTCAGTAATGAACTAAGTTCTGTACACCTTTGTTTTGTACCAAATGGTTATAAATTTTTTTTATAAAATGCTGTAAAATGGAAACTCTTGTGAACTAATTTTAAAATTATTTATCCCTCAGAATATTTTCTGTTAAAAAAAACAACACATTTTTATTTCCTGCAGTAGCCATTAGAATCCTAGTCTTAACCTTAAGTTTTCAGTCGACACAGTAAACTGTAAAATGTTTCAATGCAATTTCTTTTAATGCATTCATGAGTAAGAAAAGGCACCAACTTTTGTTAATTTATTTATTTTGTGTTCACGCTGTATAAATGTGCTTTATTTCTATTTATTCAACTAATGTGAATTTTTTTTTATTGTACAATTACATAACACATAGTTGCTATAGTAATCTACTTTAAAGCTGCAAACTGTTTTAAGGCACTATTTTATACCTAAAATTTCAGAATTATTGGATTTGTCTAACTTAAACAGTTTGAAATTGAAATTATAAGATTGAATAAATTAATTTTTCACAAATCCATTTATTTTTGCACTGAAAACTTCCCATATCACATGTTAACAACAAGTGCCTTCTAATGAAATTAATGTAGCTATATTTGAGCTTTCCCTGTTCAAATTATTTACAAAGTGCCTTTCAACAGAAAACCAGTAACTATCTGTTAATTTTGAAATGTAGTGTGAATATATCTGTAATAACAATCAATGAACACACAATGTAGTATCATCCACTTTGATTGAAGTCTTGCTATTTTAGCCATGAGACTTATGTTTTTGTAAATAAAGTTGTGATATGACATGTTTTGTCATTCTTTTCTGTAAATTTAATTCAATTTAGCAGCAGAAAAAAATGAGCATATTTTCAGAAATATTTTTTTGTCAGTGACAATGGAATTCAGTGAGCTGAAGTTCAAAATTAGAGTATTTAATAATTTTCCTGTTCATAAGCCTATGGAAATATTGTTTTTAGGTATTAAGGCACCTTTTAAGCAAAACAAAAAATTTCTCAAAATCCTAAAATGATCTAACAACCCCTTTGAAGCACAGTAAAGAATTAATTCTTTATAAGTGGTTGCCAACCTTTATTTTAAAGTTGCTCTTTGTACTCTTATTAGCATACTTTAAAAATAATCCCAATCTAAAGCAAAAAATGCAGAAATTAAATTTAAAAAAAAATGAAAAATTTAAAGCAAAAAAATATAGAGAACCATAAGAGGTGAAGATTACAAGAAAACATGCAAAATGATTAACCTGTCTCTAAAAAAATAAAACTTTAATAACTATCTTCTCCATGTGTCTTTTATTTTTTAGAAAATGTAACTTTCAAAACAAAAATATTTCTTTCTTTTTAGTAAGGTTGTTTGGACAAATAGGGTTTTGATTAAAAAGAGATTTAATTTTCAGAAATAATAATGAGTGTTAAAATTGTCAAAAACTTTAAAAAATTGAAAATCATTAGTCGGACCTTTATCCAACTACAAGTTTCAAGTAGCTTTATTTAAAAAGGTACTTGAAACTATTACTCTTCTAGATATTAGGTTAGGTGCAGAATTGTCTATACTGTTTCATATTTAAAGGGTATTGGGAATTGAAAGGTATTGCAGGGTGTTGTAAACAAAATCGTTTGTAGAAAGATCACTAGGATAGTCGAGGGCCATAGAACCCATTAGGCCAGGGATGGCGAACCAATGGCATGCGACACAATATTCTGGGCACGCCACAGATCACAAAGTTTACTATGAAGCATATTAACAATTTAATGCCAAAGAAAAAGAACTGTAAAAAACTAACAATAAATAACTAGCAAAAAAAAAATTAACAGTCCTGCTTAAACTAACATCTTACAACCTAATATAAGTCGTTTGTCTTCTAATCTGCAACAACAGAAGTCACTAATGTTACTTTAGGTTGAATTACGCGTATAACTGAGACATTGCAAAATTTTTTTTTTCATAGTAAATAAAAGAGTTTTGAGTTGATAGTATTTAGTATTATTATTTTCCCAATAATCAAGAAGTCAAAATTATTTAACGTGACGTCTATGACCTCAGTAAACATTTTTTTGAAAAAATGGCACGTTGGTGCATAAAGGTTCGTCACCCCTGCATTAGACAAACCTGTAAGAATTTTATTCGCAAAACTACTGAGTAGCATTTAAAGAGTATTATATCATAGGCTGTAAATGAAATTTGATCTAAAAAATATTTAAGGGCCATAAGATCAGTGCATGCATAAGTAGGCTAAGTGCCCAAAATCACTAATTTTCACTAGAAACATCTAGAACTAATTATAAGTTGTTTTTCAGGGTTTGAGAAAAAGTTTAGTTGGCTAATAGAACCAAAAGAAAAGAGAATTTGTGTTTTAAAAATAAATTCTTTCAATTTAAATGATATTTAAAAATAAAATTGCTTTTATCTTAGTCACCATAACTCTGATTAAACAGCAATGGTAGTGAATCTATATTATACTTATATATATATAAAACGCTAATACGTATGTATCAATAAAACCGATGATATTTCTTTTCTCGCGCTGGCAACAGTTTTCATTTTTAATTGATAGGCTTCGGCGCGCAAGAGCACGTAGTGAGCATCATATGGCTAATCTATATTATATAAAACGCTAATACGTTTTAATTGATAGGCTTCGGCGCGCAAGAGCACGTAGTGAGCATCATATGTCTAATCGGGTGAATTCTCACCGAATTATCAAAAAAATTCTCACAAAATTATCTTCATCGAAGCCGATGCTTTACATCCGGCGTTCAGTACTATTTCATATTGTTTTACAACACATGGTTTTAGCCCTCTGGTGGGAAAGACTTTAAAACAAAACTTACAACAGTTACTTTTCTCAACAACTGAAATTTAGAATAGTGTGATTAAGAAAAATATGTGAACTGTTTGCAATTTCAAATTAATATTGAAATGCACAGGTTTAGAATTTTCTACAGTGAAAAGTTTTCGGAACTTCAGTGTTCAAAAAAGTATACAAAAGCTAGACGTTAAGAACGTATCCAATGAGCGAGTAAAGCGAGCATCGGATTGCGAAGCAATCCGAAATGAACTGTGAAAGCAGTTTCGGGGGTTGGCGAGCAGGGGGCGAAGCCTCCTAGTATAAGTGAAATTGTCGAACAAATAGTTGTGCTATTGAAAACAATAATCTCCTTTCACAATTCATGTGAATAAGCAAAATGAATCTCTCATTCTTAGATGGGTGACAACTAAGAGAATTGTTTTTAATATATATTTTACTTTAAACATAATATATAACATGGTTATGTGAGATTAGAAAATGAGGTAAATGGTTTTATCAATGAAGTCACATTCAAATAGACAGAAATATGTTCCTTAAAAATGGGTCTTGAAAAGTGTAAAAATAGTATAAGGATAAAAATAACTTACTGAATACTTCTTAATAATTTTTAAGTGTTATGGAATTCAATTTTTGGAACTTCTGATAATTTATGAATTTTGATACTGAATGGAGGACTAAGCAGAAAATAAATCGTAAAATTAAGGAGTTAAGTCAATGGGAATAAAATAATTTTCTTATAATTAGCTGCCGTTTCATTTAGTAGATGAATGAATACTTAAACACACATTCCAACTGGCAAGATTATATTTTACAAAATAAAAATAAGCGAGCCTATTTTAAATCCACGTTAACTGTCAGATTTAAATAATAAAATAATTCATCGGGATGTTACAAACAAACATTTTAAGAAGTTGAAAGTTAGTACAAAAAATAAATGAATAAAAACAAAAAAGAAAAATTTTGTCATTTTAAAACTTAAAAGGAACTTTAGTTTCAAAAATTATGAAATTCATTCATTTAACTTAATGAATTGAGAACATCAATTGACTCTGTGAAATCATAAAAAAATATTTTGTATAATAAGACTAAAAATAGAAAAATATTGAGATATTTAATTAACAATAAAAACACAAATTGTGATATACATAACTTTCTATTTGATTAGTGATTATAATGTTTACATTCTATTATAAACAATACAAATCGAATAAATTTATATACATGGGCATCACAAGCTCATTTTAATAAGTTCTGAGCATTTATTTTGTCTTGATATAAATCTGTACATTTCAACAATAAGACAAAATATGTTATTTCTTTAATAAACTGACAACACAACAAAATACACTTTTGACAGATACAATTTCAAGAGATATTCTAACTTGGGGCATACAAAATATGACATTTATTAAAAAATGCATTAATATCATCAACAAACACACCAATAGTAAGTCTCAAGTTTATCTGAAAAGCTGCCAGAATTTTTTTATGAATAGAGGAGAAAAATAACTATAAAATACAAATTTCAGTAATAAATAGCAGCCATGTTTGTAAACACCAAGGAAGCATTTTAGTTTAACCCTAAGTAACTAAATATTTGTCTTACACTACAGACTTATGCTAGATTTGGGAATTCAGGATGTTTCATTTAGTAATGCTTGAAAATATTCAAAGATTGTAATTGTTAAATTTTATAATTGATCTATATTTCAATGAAATGTTAAGATTCATTCCCTTAAGCTGTGCTACTTTATTTTAAATACATAAAAGACAAAAAATGAGCACATTTTTAATTCACAGTGTAAGTCAAATTATTAGTCATATAGTAACACTGATTTATGTTTAGTTATTTAGGGTCAAAAATACATAGTACAAGTAGAGAAAACAAAACTTTCAATAATAAATCTTAATTCACTAAATCTATAAACTTACTTTATAACTAACATCAAAATTCTATTTATTAGCAACAGGTTACGGTAGCTTTCATAAATGAGGCCACGTGAAAGTACCACATTAAAAGATTTCATCTTTTATGAGAAATTTATGTTTACTATTATTTTTATGCTTCAGATCCTAAAAGGTTGAATTATGTTAATTGGTCTTACTTGAAAAGTGATTATAATTTCTTAAAACTCTTTACAGCATAAGAAATTAGAAACTCATAAGGTAATACAATTTCATAAAGTAGCTTATTTTTAAAATTGCTATTTTACTGTAAAAACAATTGTTTTGGAACTTTATCAGGAGAAAACTAACTTACAATAGAATGGTTTAAATTGTTTTTACAATGTATTTTAAAAAACTTGCTAATCTTGATTTTATGTATGAATGATGAAGAAAATTAAATATGAATCACTGGGTAATGGTTTTAAAAATGTATACTGCACTATCTAAAATGTATAATTGCACTGTAGTTAATTTCTTTGTCACTTTGTCTTTAGAAGAGTCTACATTTTGATACTTATCAAATAATGAAAATTCTAAAAAAGAACTAAGTATTTTGGAACAAAATCCTATCCTATCAGTTCAAGCTCATACCAGCTCCACATTTAACATTTTCAACGAAGTTTCTAAAATAATGTCGGTAAACAGTGTAAAAATTGCACAAGAGTAATTTCTTTTAACAGAAAGTAAATTGAAAATTTGTAACAAAACTTAATATTAACACCTTGATTTGTATAATTTATTTCATATTACAAGAAAAATTAATATATGTATTAGCTGCAGTAAAAAAAAAAAAAAATTAGTTTTTGCGCTGATGTTCTATTATATAGGCATATAATTTTTTTATTTTTGTTGTAAATATTTGACATTCTAGTAAAAAGAAAGAGTGTTTTTTGGGTATTAATCTCTTCAAAGCTTGTAATAATTATTGAGGAACTAACTATACAAGTTTTTATATTTAACTTATACTGCTGAGAATGAGAAATAAAGGTTTTCAGAAAAACAACAGTAGATAAAGTACAGGGGAAGATTTTTAAATAAAAATTAAAGTTTCAGATCCTTGGTATTCATTCCGAACTATGTGTTTTGAGAAAAAATAATTCTGTCCTCAGAATAAATTTAAAAAAATAAAAATTCTGGTCCTTACAAATTATAATTTGTCGATGACTTCACGAATTTAAATTTGCAAATTGACTTTTACAAAGAGAAATAAGTATGCTTACTTTAATAAAAAACTTCAATGTTCAACATCTAGTCAACGGAATCAAAACAAATTTTACAGCTATCTGAGTCCTTAAAATATGCGTATAAAAATATCACAAATAGTAACTTATAACTTGAAATTTTAAGATACCTAAGTTTAAAAACTTTAAAGTCACAAATTTTTTTTTAAAAATGTGTATAAATAAATAATAAGCACAAAAATTTATGATAACATCAATTAGAATAATGGCTTTAAAATTTAATTTAAAAAGCAATCAAATGACTTCTTTTCTATCAAAGTACTCTCTTGTTTTTAAATTTTTTTTTGGGGGGGGGAAACAAAATTTGAATACTATAACATGCTTTAAAATAATATTGTGTACATGGAATAGCAAATAAGATTTTGATGTATTTGCCATTATAGTAATATAAAGTGTAGACTTAATTAAATTTCAATGATAAATAGAGATAAAACTGGTCTGGTTTATAATGAAAATCAACTGAAACATAACCAAAACAATTCACTTTTTAAATCCCAGTTGGCCAAAACTATGCACAAAAATGAAGCAAATATGTTTTAAAATTTCTTTAATATTAATGTCATCTATATTACGTAATTTTACATCATTGATCATCTTGCCAAAATTGATAATGTACTGACTATTAGAAAAATCTAATCAACCATTTGTATACACAAAGTACATTTAGTATAGTGAAAATCTCCTACAAACATCTAAGTTAGTAAATATCATTGTTTCCAAAATCAGCCCACTGATAATGAATGACGGAAAAACATTCACATATAAGTTAAAAAAATTTTATTTACACTTTTGGAAAGGGCAAGGTTTGTTCAAGTCCCAAATTTGATAAACAAACATATTTTAACAAGTTGTTTATAATCTTGATTTATAAATAAATCCCTTGTTTTAGATGGTATAAGAACAATATAATAATTATATTTATTGAAAAGTACTTTCATGGCTGACTTAGAAAATAATTTAAAACTTTGACTTTAAGTGAATTTCTTAATAGGAATAATGTGATGGAAACATATCAACCTCCAGTAACACATTTATGATATATTCAAACTGCTAAGTTCATAAAATTAAAAATTTGCAAATAGGCATGTGAAAATTATTGAAACGCAGAAAAATACGTATTGCAACATTAAAATAATAATAAAATACAGAACACACAATAAAAATTATTCTTGCAAAATATGAGAAAGTAGAAACTTAAGGCTAAGAGGAATGTCTATGGAACTGACACAGCCTAAGGTTGCAAAGTTTTAATTAATAATTAACCTTAAGTATAATGTCAAGAATTCTAATTAATCAAACGTAATTAAAACTACGTTTTCATAATTTCATATTTAGACATTTAGCAAAGAAAAGGATTTTTTAATTTTTTTGAAAAATTGCCAGGCTGTGCCCTTGGTCCAATGATAAGAATGAAAAGTATACAACTGCAGAGTTTTTATAAATAAAAATAAGAAAGATAAACAGTACATGAAGTCACCAGCATTAGCTGGATTGGCAGAATCTAATTTTAAAATTTACAGCATTAAATATTATTTCAGAGAGGGAAAAAAAAATCTAAATTATCCTTTTATACTTACAAAAAAGGAACTTACTTAATGCTTTTCCTACATATCTAAAGTAATTTATTAAGAAAATATTCTTTAGTGTTTAAATATATGTATAAAAAATTTCTCAACAAAGACAAATTAACATAAGTTACACGTAACATCATAATTCTAAATCAATCATATAAATGTTATGTTACATATTTACAAGAATAACTGTGATAAAATTTTTTAGAAAATAATTTTTTTCTTGATACATTATGAAGTTTTCAATATAAATTACAAACTTTATAATTTGCACAAAAGCTGCCCCAGTTTTTAGTAATTTTTTCTTACCAGATGGCACGATGAAGTTTAGTATTGGTTAATACCAAATAACCTAACCATATGGAATTGAGGGAGTTTAGGTATTAGAGACAGAGCTAGAAATACAAAGTTCACACAAAAATGCATGGAATCGTACTTGGTGTAAAAACTGGTGAGGAAAAATCTAGAAGAAAAAAAAATACCAATCAAAATTAAAATTTTAAAAGTTTAACAAGAAAAATACTTAAATTTTTTATAATTATTAGGGGAAGTCAACCATTTTTGGGAACAGGTCACAAAAATCAAAATATAATATCATGAGGTAACATTTATTATCAGGAAGTTGACATTACGTTGTAATGAAGCAAGTAATAAAAATTAAAATAAATATTTAATGTAAAGATAAATTTTTATTTATTTGTACAAGATATTAACTGAATTATTACTACAATATATCATAACAAGATTAATAGCTATAGTTACAAAATTATCAATCAAAATATAACAAAAAATTTACAGGTATATAGAAAAAAATTAAAAGTTTTCATTTTATCTTCTAATATATAGAATAATATCTACATATCTTTCAATATCTAGAACTTCTAATGTGTAGAATACAAATAACATAAATGATCAGAAAATTGTCCAGCTATCACTGGAATTCTTCCCAATTTTTCCAATGCTGCTATGGAAACAGGAATAAAAACAACTCATTTAGATAAAAATTGAAAAAATGACAAGACTCTCCAAACTTAACTATAAAATAGTTAACTTCATATCTCTGTTTGAATGATTTATAACTATAAATAACCATCAGCCCAAGAGTCTAATTTTTGCAGAAATTCTCATGATAACCAGACAATAAAATAGCCAGTAAATATAATAATAAACACATAGTTTGTCCTAGGAATTAAAAAAGGCAGGGCGGTGCTTTGAAAAAAAAAAGGCACTATAAGTTTTGAAAGGGCACTCATGCAACACCCTAAAAATTTATCAAAATGTTTAATATTATGTAACAACTGAATTTGACGTTCAAAAATTTTTAAATTACCCTCATATACAATTTTAAGAGTATATTTCAAAAAATAATTCTCCCGCAATATCAGAAAAAAAGAAAAATTTGTATTTCATAAAAACAATTAAGGGGATCCTAAGAGATTTTCTTAGGGTGTAATTTTTTTTTCTCAAGAAAAGTAAACTAAAAAAAATTAACGATTGATAAACAACTTGAAAGCTTCCTTCTATAATTTAGACTGAAAATTATGAGAAAATGAACATTTGAAGGTGCATTTTTTCTTAACAAAGTAAATATTTGTAATTGTAATCAGAATCAAACCAATAAACACAGATAATTTTACCAGAGTGTAATTATTAATATAAAGAGTGAATTAATTTTTTAAAAAATGGAATGTGAACAAAAAGGCAGTGTTTTTAAGGGATGGGTGGCTTATTTTTACAAAAAGGACAAAGACGGCATATTTTTAGGGATCAAAGGTAACAGACCTTCCTTCTAAAAATGCTTATGAAGAACACTGACAAACATTTAAATATTTGTGAGAGTACATTTTTACTGTGAAAAGTGACAAAAAAAGTTTTGATTAGGTGAATTAGTTAAGAAACCTTACTAAAAAGTTATGATTTAACTTACAGGACTATTGGCACAACTGTTAAGAACTTCCTTGTAGCAGTAAATTGTTCTCCATTATCTATTTGCTCCCAATGAGTGAGATATCTTACTTTCCCTTGGTCAGCAGATTCCCATGGTGTACCTTTTACTATGTGTAGAATAACAAACATTGCCTGAAAAAATTTCAATTAATTAGTAGATAAAGTTGAAATTTTAGAAAAATTTTATTAAGTGAAAAAAAATATGATGAAAATTAATTTTTTGGACAATTTATTAAAATAACATATAATTGAGTAAACATAGTGATGGTTGACTGTGTTGAAATTGGCTATATTAGTGTAAAATATCACCATTCTATTTTGTGTATAACATCATAGCAGGCTTGCAGACTTCCAAATTAATTTGCTATTTGTTTTGTTGAAATTTAACTTGAAACAACGCGTTATATTGTTGACAATGCAAGTATAATAATATTGGATGGCACGCTTTATCAAACCTAGGAGTAAAAATTAATCGAAAGTGGTAGCCCGGAAGTCTTACGATGAATTTTAACGCCTAGCGCCACCTGTATTTTGTTTTACGCGGTTAGCCATCCATTCATACTTCAAAAAGTATGTGGAAAGAGATTTTATTTGTGTTGTTTGATACTTTATTTTAATCTGTGTACTTTTCATAATCTTATTAAATACAATTGACAAGTAGAAAATTTACCTGTTATTAAAGACTTACAAGTAAATATTCAAAATTAACTCTTACTTAAGACAACTTGAAGGGTAATAAATAAGTTTGCATTATTAGTTGTAATAAATATATATTCTTACCAATTTTTTCTCTTAATATTACTTCAACCACGAAGTATCATTTTAAACTTAATAATAAATAAAAATAAATAAATATTAAATTAATTGAGTACTCATATGCAGAAATTAAAAGGTTAAGGTGTAGTTTTCATCATTAAGCCTAAATATGAATTTAATGATTGATTGATTGAAAGTAGGGTGTAGTGTCACAAGGTCTAAATGAGTACATGGTGCGACAAACAATACGGTAAAATAGTTTAAAAGAATAAGTGCATATGAAATTTGATTGCAGCACAATTATAACTGATAAAACAGTAGTAGTAAGTGAATGAGACAAGATAAATGATCTAAATAAAATAAGATAATAGTATGAGTACAGATAAAAAGTATGAGTACAGTATAATATATACTTCGTACAGACACGAAGTGAGTAAAATGTACGAAGGTGGTAAGATATTTACAAAAGTGTATAAAACAGTAGAAGTGTTAAAACTTTTATATGCAGTTAAAAATACTGACATGTAAAAATGCAAAAATATTAGGATGGCGAGCTTGAATTGAATTGAATGTAGGGTTTAGTGGCACAAGGTCCAAAAAAGGATATACTGCGCTAAACACACGGTTTTAAAAACAAATTAAAAGGTTAAGTAAAGCACAAGTACAAAATCAGATAATATAGTGGAAATTCTAAAACAATGATGTAAAGTTACATACATTAAAATCAATAAAATTTCATGGTAAATTTACTAAAATGGTAAAAAGTATAAAACAATTGTATACAACTTAAAATCCCAATAGCGCGTAAAAATGCAAAGATGTTAGGATGGTGATTTTTATCTAACACGTCTGTTATACATAAAATAGTGCTTACAAAAAAGGTAAGGCGATGTTGGCAAGTGATTAAAATATGATGAATTGAAAGTAAAACGTTAAAAGTATCGCATCGAGGAGGCGGTTCCCCAAACAGCAACGAGTCAGCCGAGTATGTCCGATACGTAGCTTGACATCTGTTCCATGCAATTGCAATACAGGTCAAGGCTCTAGATTGGATTTAATAGTATGCAGTTTGTTCTCAATTTGTAAATCCCAGTGTTGCTGCCACTAAGACATAGCAAAATTTCCTATATAATCCTCCATGTCAGAAATGGAGACGGATAGCGTTAATGGAAAACATGAATTTAAGGGGGAAGCATATGCACAAAAAAATAATTATTTTTTTAAAAAAAATATTGAAAAAATATAGATATTAAAACATAAAAAGCATACGTAGAAACTGTAGCTAACAAAAATTTAATTTTTTCAACATTCTCCCTTTTTTTTAGAAATTATAAAATACTACAAAAACTTAATACCAAAACTGTCTAAAAAATAATGGCTTAAAAGAGAAAAATTTAAACAATCGAACATTATAATTAGTAGTAATAACTGAACCACATAAAAAGACTAGTAATTGTGCTGCTATGAAATTTATTTTTACAATTTTCAGAAAAATTTTCTGAGTATAAAGTAAACTTACACCATTATGAAAGACATTTGTCAGTGTCCAAACCCAAGCTACACTGAGAAAAGGGAAGCTAAGTAAGATAAGATGAAGAAAAAGTACACCTATGAGATAAGACAACCACATGCCACGACTATTCAACCACAAACTATTGGGGTTTACCTCACTGTGTGTCCCTCCAAGCATCATTTTTACAGATTCTGAAAGATAAAAAAACAAGTATAATTCTCAAAAATATTTTCAGTCATAAGCAATTAAAAAAAAAAAAAAAAAAAAAAAAAGNAATTGAATGTAGGGTTTAGTGGCACAAGGCCCAAAAAAGGATATACTGCGCTAAACACACGGTTTTAAAAACAAATTAAAAGGCTAAGTAAAGCACATGTACAAAATCAGATAATATAGTGGAAATTCAAAAACAATCTTGTAAAGTTACATACATTAAAATCAATAAAATTTCATGGTAAATTTACTAAAATAGTAAAAAGTATAAAACAATTGTATACAACTTAAAATTCCAATAGCGCATAAAAATGCAAAGATGTTAGGATGGTGATTTTTATCTAACACATCTGTTATACATAAAATAGTGCTTCCAAGAAAGGTTAAGCGATGTTGGCAAGTGATTAAAATATGATGAATTGAAAGTAAAACGTTACAAGTATCGCATCAAGGAGGCGGTTCTCCAAACAGCAATGAGTCAGCCGAGTATGTCCGATACGTAGGCGGGTGAGCTTGACATCTGTTCCATGCAATTGCAATATAGGTCAAGGCTCTGGCATGGATTTAATAGTATGCAGTTTGTTCTCAATTTGTAAATCCCAGTGTTGCTGCCTCAAAGACATAGCAAAATTTCCTATATAATTCTTCATGTCAGAAACGGAGACTGATAGCGTTAATGGAAAACATGAATTTAAGGGTGAAGCATATTGATAAAAAAATAATCATTTTTTAAAAAAAAATATTGAAAAAAATACAGATATGAAAACATAAAAAGCATACGTAGAAACTGCAGCTAACAAAAATTTAATTTTTTCAATATTCTCCCTTTTTTTTTTAGAAATTATAAAATACTACAAAAACTTAATACAGAACTGCCTAAAAAATAATGGCTTAGAAGAGAAAAATTTAAACAATCAGACATTATAATTAGTACTAATAACTGAACCACATAAAAAGGCTAGTAATTGTGCTGCTATGAAATTTATTTTTACAATTTTCAGAAAAATTTTCTGAGTATAAAGTAAACTTACACCATTATGAAAGACATTTGTCAGTGTCCAAACCCAAGCTACACTGAGAAAAGGGAAGCTAAGTAAGATAAGATGAAGAAAAAGTACACCTATGAGATAAGACAACCACATGCCACGACTATTCAACCACAAACTATTGGGGTTTACCTCACTGTGTGTCCCTCCAAGCATCATTTTTACAGATTCTGAAAGATAAAAAAACAAGTATAATTCTCAAAAATATTTTCAGTCATAAGCAATTAAAAAAAAAAAAAAAAAAAACTAACTTCAATTTTCTAATAAAATAAACTTTACAATCACTTTCAGATGCACAGTTAATGATAATACAATGCAGGGGGTATTAAATTAGTAGATAGGAAGAAGATTTCCTCCAACCCATGTGAAAGAAATCTTTTTTAAAAGAAATATCAAATATTAAAACAATTTTTAAACAAATTTATAATAGCAATCTAGTGTAAATAATAATATTGGTAGTGATGCTTTGGTTAGGTAGCAATAGAGCTGCACAATGGGCTATTGAAGGTGGCCTGGGAAACATCCCAAAGGATAAGCTGTGATTGATTCTTTGCAAAGAGGCGCCAAGTCAAGCACTGTATGGTAGAACAGTTTAACGAGGACCATTACCCCACAGACTCAGTCCCTTTATAGGCTGATCAAAGCGGTCCTTCACCTGCTCAAGTGATGCTCTACATTGCTGCTCTACTGGGAACCATGTCTTTAAAATCAGTTTACTGTGAGACAAATAGTAGTATTGATTTCTAAGCTATTAAATATATCCTGTATTAAATATATCCATATTTATGTAAAAACTAAAAAGCAATATCCAGAAACCAAGAATTTTTTAATGACTTTTAAGAAATTAAAAAAACTCTAGTCCTTTCACCTTTTACGTTAGCTTTACCTTTTTGAATGAAGGGATATTTGTAGAGCAATGAAAGTTTACATGCTTAAGCATTTAGACTTATTACCAGCAATTATGATAATTTTAAAATAAAAATCAGCATTTTAAACAAAATTCTTTTATCAGTCATCTTAGTTATATATTTGCATGATATTAATTTCTATTAAATATTACTAAAAAATATTGTTAAAAACTAAAAAATATCAAACTGATAATTTAAAAAAAAAAAAAATTTTAAAATCAAGAAATGGATTTATTTAAAAAAAATATAAATGGTTTTTTATCATATCATGTGACACAATAAAGTTCATTTAAATATAAATAAATTGTAATGTCCAGGAATGAAATTATAAAGAAATATATAAAGACTTTTCTGAGCAATGTAAATACAAGTTAAGTTTTGAGTAAGAAATTTTATGTAAAGGATTTTTATGGGGACTAAAATGATTTAAAAATAAAAGAAACACATCATAGCTCAAAATAAGATTCAACAATCAGTTGTTCAGTTCAGTATATTTTTAATTTTAGGTTCAGTTAAATATACGAAATTCAATTGATGAAAATGTGCAATTCCCAACTCTCAAACCTTAGCAAAAACTGCAAAAAAAAAAAAAATTAAAATTACTTAGATTGATGATGAAATAGTCATAAACAAAAGACATAAAAAAGAACTATTAATAAAACACATAGTTTGAAAATCGCAAGTCATTATTATACTGTATTAAAATTGACATTTTTAAATCATTGTGGAAAAGTGCAAGAATAACTGATGAAAGAACGCTATTAAAATCCCTGCAATTACTGATGATATCAGCACAAAAAAGCGCACATTTAAAAAAGAAATATGAATTAATAGATATAAAAAATATCATGATTTTCAAAAATACACAGTAATGTGTAGCAATAAGTGCCCAAAAATGATAGAAATATGAATTAATGATATATGAATTAATGATATATGAATCAATAGATATAAAAAATATCACGATTTTCAAAACTACACAGTAATGCGTAGCAATAAGTGCCCAAAAATGATAGAAAAATAACTTGGGCTTACGATAAAATTGATGCAAATAGAGCACATCAAAAGTGACTACTAGATTGCAAGATTTGAAACTCATGAGTCCTTATTACAACATATTAGAAATAAACGGATTTGAATAAAAATATATGGCAAAAATGCTAGCTGAAAACACAATTGAAAAGTCATTTGGATTAATGATGAAATGGACGCTAATAAAGAGCTTTAAAAGTGATTACTTAATTTAGAAATTATGTCATAGGAATATCATAGTAATTATGTCATATTGATAATATTGGGATTTTTAAAATTTAAGTTCAAAGGCACAATTTTAGAGGAGATTTTCGTATTGTGATCTGTGGCACGATAATTGCAAAGTTTATGCAACTTCCGAGCAGTGGCCCATGAGAAACTAAAAAAAAATATCGCAGAAAGAGACCAACTTGAAGGGCATAATTCGTAGCCACCCTGGCAAATCTTTACATGTTTTTTTTTTAAAAATTTCCTGTTTAAAATAAATTTGGCACTTTGGCGATTGTAATTGGTGTGGCAGATCACAATACGGAAATATCCCTCCAATTGAAAAAAATTTTTTTTTTGAATTTTCCCCCAAAATTATAACAGTTTATTTTATTATGTTCAGGCACTGCCACAAGCCGCATATCAACAGAGTGCAGGTTGCATCCCTTTATTTTATGTACATGAGTACAATAAAACTTTATTTAATAATTATGCACAAAACTTTAGTAATATTTTGTCAATAGTCAGGGGTCTGTCCAGGCCAAATTTACTACCGTTTAGCGGTACCTTCACAAATTCAATTTTAGGTAAAACGGTAGTTTCACAAATTCAACTTTAGGAAAAACGGTATTTTCACAAAATACTTTTTCTTAAAATTTTATTTTTGTCTCCCTTAAGAAACGATAAATCTATATTTTTACCATGTTTTAGTGTTGACTTTTTAATATAATTTTTAATTTTTCACAAATTATGTCAAAATTTTCACAAAATAGGTACTTTTAAGAAAAACCTAGACAGACCCCTGATAGTGCTATATTAAAAAATTATATTACTACTACAACTCACATAGAGAATTCATAATTACAAATATATACTAATTTTTATAATCAAAAACTGTTAAGTATAAATTCTCAAACAAACTCTTAAAAAATATATTTAAATTTTAAAATTCTGAACTAAAATGAATAAGAAATTTATTTTAAAAAGAGTTCTAACTTCTAGGTTTACAATAAATACTTTCAAGCATCATTTTTAAAGAAAACTTTTAACTTACTGGCACTACAATAAATATAATTGATTTAAATTTAAGCTTTTCTTTTTACTCAGTATAATGTATTGGTTATTTTTTAGTTTCTTTCAATTTTTTTCTATTTCCAGGAAGAAATCGGTCTCCTTAAAAAAATTCTAACCTATATCAGAATTTTTTATGATAGAATTTACAATGTATCAAGTGTAGAAATTGTACTTTGGGTGCACAATACTCTCTTAATTAAAAAAAATATATTTCTGTAAAATAAGTGTACAAGATTTACATAGACATACAGTAATTAAAAATTTAAGTCTTAGAATAATTGCTTTAGTAAATCTTCTGAAGATAAAAAGTGAGTAATAAAAACCTGATGTAAATATTGACTTCTTCCCGATGTTGTTTACATTAGTGTAAACAACGACTGATGTAAACAATGAATTCAGATATATGATATATTTTAGAGAAAAGTGATAATCTTTCATTGAGTGTTAGAAATTTCAAATAAACAAGGGTTTTATGCTTTAGGGAAGTTTTAAATTCATGAAAATATACTCAGAAAGCCTAAATTAAATATATTTTAAATAAAATAATAACTCTTTTTGAAAATTTTGACAGGATGAAAGTAAACATTTTTCAAAACTAAATCGGTTAAAATAAAAACAAATACGATAAGGCATAAACAGTCAAGAGTTTTTTGATTCTAAAATGAGAAATGCAATTCTATTAACCAATGAATTAAATGAGAGAAAAAAGATAACAGTTTACATAAGTTAGATTATATTATTACATCTTTTTCAGATAAACCTGAATCACAAGTAAGTTCAGAATCTAACAAAAACTGCTCGAATACTTTCATAAAAATAATTCATTTAAAATTTTAATCGCAAGTTACATTGAAATAAAATTATAATATCAAAATTAGAACTTCCACAATTTGCAAATCCAAAAGCAGTCCAAAAGTTACTCTCATTAGATTTTTTTTCAGAACACAGTTAAAGTTAATTCGGTTACCTCAATACGGGAAAAATAATAAAAGTTCTTTTTTTTAGATTGAAAATATAAGCTAATTTTTTCAGAAAAGAAGCATTTTCAATTATTAAGTGGATAAGTTTTTAATTCTTTTCTTCCGTTTTAATAAAAAAAATTTTAATGAAATTTTTTAGTGAAATGAAGTGAGTTATTGAGTCGTCTGCTCTCTCACGCCGATTATATTTGTTTATGTCTTTGGTTGGTCTCTGATAGTGATTGGGATTTAAAATATGGAACTAAGCAAAAATATTCTCGATGGTGTTTCCACTGCAGGAAATTCTACGGAATTGACAGATGTCTTGTTTAATCATATGTTGCAGGATGTGTTCAATGTCGCTGTTGGAGAATCAATTTCAAAAGGCAAACATTTGCATTGTCATAAAACCTCCTAAAAATCTATTTTGTTCTTCTTGCTTTCTCTGGATTACCTTTAGTTTCTCTTCGAAATTTAACTGTGATTCATCTTTATCCTATGTTTAATAATTTTAAATGCTTCTTTTCACAGATGCACACATTAAGTTTGTCAGTTTTACCGAAAAGAATGCATACGATTGCCTTTTAAGCTTAGTGTTAGAAGCTGCTAAACATGATGCTGACTCATCTTCCCTGAGGTATTTTCTTTTCAATATCAAACATATTATATGTTATGTATATACAATTGTATTAAGCATTTTAATTTGAGACCATATATCTTCTCTACAATATCCAAGTAGAAGATAATTTGTTTATATTTGGCAGTAAAACAAAGTGAAATATGAGAATATTTCCGTATCGGTACTTGTTTGAGCTAACTACAATTGCCAAGGCGCCAGACTTGAAAAATTTGCAGTTTTAATTTTGCAGAACTTTAAAAAAATACTTTATCGAAGTTTGCCTAGGAATGACTTTGAGTTATGCACTACTAGTTGATCCACTGTTGTAATGTGTTTCATGTTAAAACTTAATGATTATTTCGGCACAGGTACCAATACGGAAATCTTGCTAAAATCTAGTAATAAACACCATGTAATTGAGGGGATTCAATCTTAGACTATGTCACAGAGCTCATTCTAGGCAGAAAAAAGGGCAGGGTGCAAAAGTTTGAAAAAGGGGCATTATTATTCTAAAAGGGCAATCATTTCTTTCTATGGGCTTTACACGTTTTATTAAAAAACATTGTCAATTAGTAAAAGAAATGTCCAATTTTTTTTCTTTCTAAAAGTAGCAGACCAATTATATTAATTACTAATTTTGAGTAATAAATTAACATATCTATCGAGTTAATGAGCTAATTAGCTTAGTAATTTATTTAAAATGCATGCATATATTAATAGAATAATAAATGTATGTTTTTAGTGTCTGTAGTTATGATTTAATGATAGTGGAAGTAACTGCAAACTTTCAAAGACAAGTGCAACAAGGGGGTGTGATTTCTATTTTTCCTTTCCCATATAAATCTATGTATTGACAGTAATGACAAATTAAATAAAAAGAGTTGAAAATCCACTGTAGAGTTTGGGGAAAAAATAAAGAAGAGTTGTGGAAAGAAAGGGTATGGAGTCTATTACATCAGCGCCCTGTTTACCCTGCCTAGAATGAGCTCTGTATGTCAACCTTCATCTATCAAAAGGTACCTCAAGATAGAATCAAGTTAACATGTCTTATATACTAGTGAATTGGAATTTAATATTTATAGTGGTAGTTACGCCACATTACTCCCCTTCCAGAATTTTATCTGCGATAGAATTCGATGAATGAATACCAACTAGATGAGTCATGATATTTATTTATATAAATTTTGCTCATTATATATATTTTTTTTCAATAGCATTTTGCTCATTATTTTTGTTTTTTTGTTCTTATAGCATTTCGCTAATTTATTTATTTTTTTTGTTGTTTATAGCAAATTTCGCTCATTTTTTTGGTTACATCATTTTGCTCATTATTTTTTTTTCTTCCTCGTTTTTGTTTATTGACTGAGAGACTTTACTTTACCGGATTAGTTTCCTTCTTTGAGCATTTTTTTAAAAAAGCAAATCAACTGTTTGATGTGGACCATCCACATCAAACATCTGATGAGTTCATATCATGTCCGGGTTACCAATGTGAGGAGATTTTAATTTATAGGCTATGTCAACCTTCATCTATCAAAAGGTACCTCAAGATAGAATCAAGTTAACATGTCTTAGTGAATTGGAATTTAATATTTGTAGTGGTAGTTACGCCACTTAAAACAATTGTTTTGGTAATACTTCATTAACACAGTGAAATGTTTCTGTATGTCAGTTCCGATAAAGGGTTTGCTGTATAGTAAACCTAGTTTGTTTTAATTCTTTTGCTCTAAGTTTAACTCACATTTCATAGTTTTCTCTATTTTTTGAGGTATGAGTTGTGATACATCGCTAAAACTCCTTAAAATATAGCAAATTGTTGTCGTTTATGATACAGCAATGCATTGCAGTTAATTTTTACAGTAACTGAAAAAATTTATATTCTGAAACGGTATCAACTAAATTATTGTAAAAGGTATGAAAACTATTACTAAGTTGGTTTACATAAAAAAAAAACTGGGTATATATAAGGTTCAGGAGGCCCTAAAAACTATTACCTCAGTACCTAGATGAATAAATTAAGTGTCTATTACCACAATTATTTAAGCGTAGCTGGTGTCATTAATAGCTTCATGAGTTTTTGTTACATAACGCATAATGTACCAAATATATATGAAGTTTAACGTTATGAGCTTACATACTAGTAACGTATATCTTATTTCTGTTGTTGTTGTTGCTTATCCTCTAATTGTCTGACGAGGTCAGACAAGATCCAGTAAGTTGTTGACCCTCAAAAAGTCGATTGCAAGAAGTGGAGAAGCATATAAGTCCTCCTTGGAAAGGCCCAAGCAGTCGAGGATATGTTCTGCTGAGGCCTGCTGGGCTTCACATTTAGAGCAGACTGCATAAGTCTTTCTTCCTTTAAAGTACGAGAGACTGTTCGTGTGTCCGCTTGCCAGTCTGGAAATAGCTGTTTGAGATGCTCTATCACCTACATGAACAAGTGAAGAGCCCGGTTCCTTGGCCGCATACCAATGATNTCATTGAGGGCCCCAGGCCATGGCCTAATGGGTAATAATTATTTTGGCACAGGTACCAATACGTAAATCTTGCTAAAATCTAATAACAAACACCATGTAATAAGCAATTGTTTTGGTAATACTTCATTAACACAGTGAAATGTTTCTATATGTCAGTTTGCTGTATAGTAAACCTAGTTTGTTTTAATCCTTTTGCTCTAAGTTTAACTCACATTTCATAGTTTTCTCTATTTTTTTAAGGCATGAGTTGTGATACATAGCTAAAACTCCTTAAAATATAGCAAATTGTTGTCTTTTATGATACAGCAACGCATTGCAGTTAATTTTTACAGAATGTGAAAAAATTTATATTCTGAAACAGAATCAACTAAAATATTGTGAAAGGTATGAAAACTATTTACTAAGTTTGAATACATAAAAAAAAAAACTGGCTATATATAAGGTTCAGGAGGCCCTAAAAACTCTATTACCTCAGTACCTAGATGAATAAATTAAGTGTTTATTACCACAATTGTTTAAGCATAGCTGGTGTCATTAATAGATTCATGAGTTTTTGTTACAAAATGCATAATGTACCAAATAACTATAAAGTTTATGAGCTTACATACTAGTAATATATATCTTATTTCTTTTAAGTGTTATTGAGTGTCAAAATTAGTCCAAAGTTTCTCATTTGCTCTTCATTATACCTGGAACATTTTCAGTTATTATCAATATGTTAGTGTGACAACTTGCAAATTGTTTTCATAAAGGTCAAATGGACTTATCTTTTTAGTAATTTTATAAAATCTCATTGATTGTTTTCAACAAAAGTAAGAAATAGCAGTCTCCTTATAAATAAAAAATTTTGCAGGTGAACTGTGTTTCAAATTGTTTTTAATTATAAGTTCGGGACCATTATTTTCTACATTCTTCGAAAATAATTGTTTGTTTTAATTCCTCCTAAATAAGCACTGATTATGACTTATGACTGGTTAAAACTATTTGGTATCAATTTGCACCAACTTTCCTGGTCAATGAGATTGTACGCATTATTATTATTTTTTTTTTTATCGTTATTGCAATACATAATTACACAAATAATGTTTTTATTTTTTATTTTTAAAAACTTGTTACTGTTTGAATTTTTATCTCTCTGTACATTTTTTTCCTAATAAAAGTTTATAATGAAGATTATGATATCATAAATTCATTTTAATACGTGTACTAATTGAAATGAATCTCTGTTACTATTATTAAAGGTATTTGATAACTCTAGGTTTTCAAAACATTTGTGTTAATAATAATAATTTTTTTTAAAAAATACTTTAAAGGGAGATTTTGGGGTGCATGTTAGCCACTCCTTGCTCAGGGAATCCAGGTTCTTTTGTGTGATTTAAAAATTCAGAATTTTAAAGTTCTGACACTGATTTATAAAAATTCTTAAATCTTTTTCTCTTCTCAATTTTAGTGTTCTACTGGAAGATTGCAGAGTAGAAGCAAATCGCATCTCTTTGTTTTTAAAAAAGTACCAGGTAATATTTTAATATCTGTTTTCTGAAAACCACTCATACCTTAATGCTTGCATGTTCAAAGATAGACTTACCCACCGGGACCTATCTTGGTGCGTCCTCCAACATACTGGCTTTCTGTGACAAAAATTAAAAAGGAAAAAGAAATTGACTTTAATTTTGTTTTAAATCTTTGTTTTTTAGGAAAAAAACTTGAAAACGAGTGATTTGTAATAAAATTTTATTTTATCGTTTACCCTTCCCTAAAAGAAGCATTTTTTTTGTTCCATCTGACCACTATGGGGGGCACAAATACGTTGAAGGTAACAGCATGATTGCCTGTATGTTCCAACAACCACCTCACCTGCTTGAACAATTTTGTTCCATTTGGAAAATT